ACACATACCCTGCGGCCTCATCAGCTAGCTCCCGTTGTTTCCTTCATGTGAAGTATTCTAATAGCATCGCACTGCCTGCCTCCTCCATTCAAAACGGGTAGCGACTCCGTTGCTGACTGGTAGTTTCGTCATCTTAAGGTAGATCTTCGGCATTATCGATGCCATTTCACAGTTTGCTTCAATTCCGCTACAATTGCGCAGGCTTTCGTAATCTGGGTGATGATCAAGCCGGTATAACAATAATGGTAATGACAATACCATGAGGGACATGGAGCAGAATTTTATGGGAGACTTTTCCCATTTTTCAATCATCTTTTCTCATCATATTATGGGATCGGAAACGGCAGAGTGGTAATAAAAGCTGTCAGCATTAATTCATATTCTGAAGCCCTTTTTGACCTCGATAATTTGTCTGTTATTAAATCTATTAATACTACTTTAACTAAACAACAAGCCAGTATGACTAGGCATATAACTTTCCTTGAAAAAACTATACTTAAAGAAATCTGTAGCTAACAAGAAGGCTGTAGACTGTATGCATTTCTAAGAATTGTCTTCATTCACCATGGTTAAAAAATATGCACTTAAAACTAACAAATTGACCTGTTTTTTTTTGAATGTTTGATGTTTTTGAAAAATATATTCTGGGCTTGGCTCATGGACGATCCGAAGCGTCAGAATTGTGGTATACAGCATCTTCTTAATAATGACTACCTGTGTTAGTATCATCATTTTATTCGAAACAGTTCATATTAACTCGTGTTATTGACAACATTTCAAGGTATCAAAATGTCACCAAACAGGACATTCTTAAACAACAGTACTATGATATGCGCATATTTTCGTAGACTGTGTTTGCCTCAATTAAGGCTCAGAAAATCGAATGGGCACGGGTAATGAAACAACTCGTCAGTTTAATTTGCCTCTGATTTCGTGATTATAATAATCTCCACTTCTATAAAGGACTTATGTGACGAAAGAGATGTAGTCGGTACGAAAGGAATGAGGTCAGTTGAACTGAATGTGTCAAAGCAATCTGTGATACACCTAAAAATACAGGTCAGCGAAATTGAGCAAGGCCGCAGGATATTAAATTTAATGGCCATATGCCAGTCTGCAGTTCAGGTTTCAATTTTATAACCATTATTTAGAAATGCAAGTTACAAAATATTTTTGGTAAAGGTCATGCAGGTCTTCGCTGCAGCACTCATTGGAATTCATTATAATAGAACTGGTTTTCTGCTTTCTGAAAAGTCCGCTTTCTTTGCGGCCAGCAATACTTTGTTTCAAAACGGAGGTCTACCCACGTGATATACGACTTTGACAGTCGCCTTGCGTGCTCTAGTTCCCTACAAGTACTCTCAACGAATGAACATCCTCCCAAAGTAACATACACTTGACAAATGTGACTGTCTTAACAGGTTGGCAAAAATTTAACAGCCACACACCAAAAATTAAATATATATTCTCATCAAGATTATACGATAATTATTTATTTCCCAGGCACAACCATTTGACTACATTTCATTATGAAAACTTCTCGAATGGTATTAACATCACTTGTATGTCAATCGGCCACTTGACGCAAAACGTGATTTGACGAAACTCTGAATGCTTCCTATTGCATCAAGATCCCAAGATAACTGAATAGCCTAAACGTCCCCTCCCCCAGGCAACAAAGAGCGATGTTTCGCTGAGATACGCCGTGAAGTCTCGTTTTAGGAAAATCACTTGCTATTTGATGTACTGGGCGTACGTACGACTTATGATGCCTATACGCTAGCACATTAGCATTACCAGTTCCTGAAACATCGTTCACGATGAGCGCGAGATGGCCTAAAGCAGACAGAATAATGCGAGGTGAATGTGGCACTGCAGGTGCACCAATATCATAAAGCCTTAGCCTGCTTAAATTGCCCCCCCCCACCTACACAACCAGGGGCAAGAAGCGATGCAATATCCCGCGAAATTTGGTCTTGGAGAGGTATTCCATTATTTGGCATGCTCAAGGTAACTAAGGGGTACATCTTATGAAGTATATCTAATGCGTGATGTATGTATCTTTCAGAAAATGTATAGTCTGTGTGCCCATTGTTCCTATTTATAATGGAATCGGCAATTCTTTGATCTCTATCGCAGCTGTAAAATTGATGCTGCTTCAAAATAACTACTCTATGATGGCATAAGCATAGATTTAAGATGCACGGGAGGCGATCCGTTTGGAGTTTGGTTGTTTTACAAGTTTACTGGAATTGTTACTGGCGGAAATTACGGCTCTGATGATGGTTGCCAGCCATATCCGATTGAGCCATGCGAACATAACAACGGCGGTTCAAGCGTTCATTGCAAAAATACAGTACCGAAGTTGACTTGCGTGAACAAATGCCAAGAAAACTATTCTGTTCCGTTTAATCAGGATAAATATTACGGTATAAAGGTGAATGTAATTTCAGCTGCGCATTTTATGAACTTATAGCTAAACATGTGTATGCAGTGGATAGCGACGTTCGTGCAATTCAGCAAGAAATATTAGCTCATGGTCCAGTGCAAGCGACGATGAATGTCTATGATGAACTTCTTCTGTATAAAACAGGTATGAAATTTAAAAATTGCCATAGACATGTTGGAATGCTTCTAGATTCCATTTAGGAGTGTATAAACATTCCATTGGAAATTTTTTGGGCACGCACTCTGTTCGGATAATTGGATGGGGCACTGAAAACTGTACGCCATATTGGCTAGTGATCACCTCATGGAACATTAAGTGGAACAATACTGGGGTTTTCAAGATCTTGCGAGGAGAAGACCATTGCGAAATAGAGAATTTCGTAATGGCAGGAATTCCCCAACTGTGATTGGAGAATTTTCAGTCGTTTCGCTAAATATTCCAAAGAAAAGACATTGTTATGTTTTCTAGAATAAA